GGAAGCAGCCCCTCTCCTCCGGGTGCGATCCCCCAACCCGAAACCAGAGCCCGGGCCATTAGCGGGAAACCGAAGTGGCGCGGGGGATCGCATTTCAAAAGCTCAAATAGACTGGTTGACTCGGATCGTTGGGCTGGGGGGCTGGGGGGATGGGGGGTGTGGAGAGCCGGACGGCTCGGACGGTACCAATGTCCCTTTTCTAAGTCCCTCCCCCCCCCCCCCCGCCAGGGACTGCCCCGAAGCTGCGCGATCGGACCGGCACAGGCCGCCTGACTTCAGCCCAGCCGCGGGACAGAAAGCGCCTTGCGTCTTGGGCGCAAGGAAGACGGGTCCCTATTCCCTACCCGAGCAATGTGTTGTGTCCTCCCCGTACCCCACAGCCCTCCCCGCCCAGCCTGCAGTCAGACCCGGGCCTCGGCTCCTTGGGTGCATGGGGCCTACAGTTGCCCAGGCTGGGGAACCTGGGCCGCGCTGTCTCATAACCAGGCACCCCCTTTCTTGCGTGGGGCTGCGCCCTCCGTATCCTTTCTCCCGCCTCTAGCGGATCTATCTCCCCACTAGCCGAGCGCTCGGCTCCCACCTGGGGCCAAAGAGTTGAGAGAACGAGAGGCCGAGGAAACAAATTTGCTTAAGTTCCTGGAAGCTGAGAAGGGTCGAACCAGGAAGGAATAAACGATTCTTGTGCCGGCAGGGTCCCCACCTGCAGTCTCGGGCCTTCGCGCCCGGGCAGATGGAGCTCAGCAAGTGCTAGGGACGCAGGGGAGGATCGGAGGCCGGTGGTGAAAAGCCTGAGACACCCAAAGCCCAAGCCTCGCTCTCCCACCCGGCGGGAGAGGGAAACTGGAGTTAGCGTGGTCTCCCTGCTGCCCTGGCGCGCGCCCGCGCGGTTGTAACTCCCTGTCCCTAGCGACTCAGATCGGGACGAGAACACTGTATCAGCTTCCGGGCCCCGCCGCAAGTATTTGTAAGTGGGGTTTTGTCACCAGCCAACCTTCGCTTCATCCGCCTGGGAACCAGGGTCCCGAGCGTGCGGTCTCCTCCTCGACGGTACCGCACGGGGGAGAGAGGGCCGGAGAAATGTAAAATGTTCTGTAAGGACGCCGAGATAGAAACTGCACTTTCTCACTGCACGAGAGACGCCCGAAGAAATGTAAAATGTTCTCGTATGAAAAGCGCGTGAGACGCACACCGAAATCCAGAACACGCCCGTAGATTTCTCTACGTCTTGGATATACACACCTCAGGTATGTACATCTCCACCTGAACTAGAAACAGTGGTTCCACTGGATTCTGGGGCCCACTTGGTCTCGAATCCTGGCTACACAGTGTCCCGGGTGCTCTTGGGTTAGTGATTTCACTGTTCTGAGCCTCAGTTCCCTCCTTTGTAAAACAAGGCATAAAGGTCGTCCTCACACACCATAGGTTTAATTGTGAGGCGGTGTTGAAGGAGATCTCTTTTGTGGGGTGCCTGAACCGAGTACCTAGCTTGTGCACGGGCCCCTGGTATGCTGGTATGCCAGCTCATTTTATTATTGCTGTTCCGTGTACTTTGAACGCCGACATCTGCAACATATACATGTTGATTATACGCATCTTGATTATAAAACAACCAAAGGCATCTACATCCGGAACTGTCTTGCGCAGGAACTTCGAAATACAAATTGAAAGAGACGTCTACTGGTGGAGCACGCACAAGTACGTACACGCGCGCGCACACGCATCTACTTCTAACACCTGTAGCTCCTGGCCCCAGAACGCCCAAAGAGCTACCCATAGGTATGAACTTTCTAGAGCTATGTGTATAAGAGCCAGGTCGCGATCGCGGCCTCGCATCTACACTCGAATAGCCACTCTCTTGGCTGGTTGCCGTGAGGTCAAATTTGGAAACCAGCGAGGCAGAAAAGCGCACGGACGCGAAGCGTTTGAAGCCTCTTGCAGCGCCCAAAGGCGGCTGCCTGTCTGCTGGCTTAGGGGAAAGGTCAGGACAAGGGTTTTCCTTCGTGGATGGAATTTCTGTAAGGGCCTACGCGCCGGGAACTCGCCCCACAAAGGAGGGGTGGGTTCCAGTACAGCGCAGATCCAGAGGGAGGCTCTGCACACACGCGCACTCGCACTCGCAACCCCGCGTGCGCACCCCCGGCTTCTTCGGGCTTGTCGAGACCTGGGAGGAGGGAGCGCAGGGTCGTGACCCCGGCCTCTGCCGAGCGCGCCCTTCGGCCCCTGCAATTAGCGCCGGGAGGTCAGCAGGAACCCGGACGCCTTCACCCGCGGCTCTGAGCACAGCAAAAAAAACAAGCCCGCGCCCTCCCCCCTCCGCCGGTCTCAGACGCCTGGGCGCAGCCCGGCTTGGAGACGACCTTCCCAAAGGGCGGGGGCCGGAGGGCTCAGGCCGGCACCCGCATTTGTCACCTTAAATCTACAAATCACTAAGTCGCTCGGCCCTGCAGGCTGCGGTAGCTGACCCCGGCCCGGGCCCTTTACGGACCGCTGCTCACGAGAGCCATGTGCCCTTCGTCCCTGTAGACGCGGCCAGGGTAGAAACCGAAAAAAAACCAAACCAAACCAAAACAGAGTTGTAAAGAAAGAAAGAGAAAGCTAATCAGGCAAAGGGGAGTTGCATCCAGGGTCGAATCTCAGTGGTGTATATTGCGGAGGGGGAATCCTTTCTTTCGCCATCTACCCAGCATGAACTCAGGTTATCCCCTGCCCGACAGGGTCGGGGGAACTGGTAGAGGTTTCTACACGGAGCGGCAAGGTACTTGGGAGAAAATTATGAGAGAGGATCCCCCTCATTGAATTTCCGAAGGCTCTTTGGAAACCCGAAGTCGGGAAGGACTGTTTTTCTCATCTGAGGCCCAAACAGGAGTGAAAGCGATATCCAGGAAAGAGACGACGGCGGCTTCTTCCGACGTTGGGGTGAGAGGGGGGGGGTGGCGCGGGGGGCAGAGGAGGAGGGGAGCCTGGACTGGGGTTGGCGAGGATGAGAAGGGGCAAAGGTGAGACGTCCCAGCTCCGGAACCCGGGAGGCACTGGGGAGCCGAGCAAGCGGCGGCCACCGGGGCGCGTTCGCGAGCCAGACAGATAGGTGGCACTCGAAGCTCGGGGAAAAAAAAAGGCGAAGGCGCCGGCCCCAAGTGGCCTCCACGGCGGCCGCCGCCACCATAAAGCCCGCGGCGAGATTGCGACCGGCGCCAGGTGAGTAATAGGCAACGAAATCCAGAGAGATTGCAAGCCGCTCACCCCCAGTCCATCAGCGCCACCAGAGTTACTCATTAACATCACTATATACAAATAAGATACACGGGAGATTTAAAAAAAAAAAAAAAAGGCAAGCACTGGGAGAGGCTAGATACATGTCTGAGCACCGTCCCAGAATTTGGGGGGTGAGGTGGGGAGGAGGTGAGCAAATCTGGACCGTGAAAGAAGAGCATTCCTGCCCTCCTTGAGGTTGAGGCTGTTTTCGCCCCCCCATCCCCCACCCCCCGGCTCGGGGAGAGCGCTGCCGAGCACCCCGAGCCGACTGCCACCTTCCCGGGGAGCAGGCACCGCGCGTAATCGTTGGGCCAACAACCAGTCCCAGTCGGCTGCGGCCGCTGCGCGTAGGGCGCACGCCCGGGAAATCTTCGGACCCTCCGGGGAGCTAGCGCCCCAAAGATCCCCAAGCCTTGCAAAGCTCCCCCCCACCCCTCACCTCCGACCCTGAATGTTTTCCCTCCCACCCCGGGAGACAGCGCAGGAGAGGCTATGGGGCTCCCCACGTGCCTGGTTGGAGATGGAAGGGGCTATGCCCCCCTCTCCAAAAGGTCTCGACCTCTATCCCCTTCCAAGTACAGCATGAGGGCGGGGAGGGGGGGGTCCTCCTTGTCGGCCATTCAAGGGGCCCGAAGGTGACAGGGACTTGGGGCCGGGCTGGCGGGCTCCAGGGAAGGGGAGGGAGGGCGGCAGCCGCCAGGCAGGCTCCGGCTGCGTCCTCAAGTCAAGGCCCCTGGGGCAAGCAAAGGCCTGGAGAACCTTCCCGTCCTCCCTAAATCCCCCCCCCCCCCCCCCCACACACACACACACACACACACACCTCCGAGGCGAGGCTGGGGTGGGGAGGGCAGGAGACCAAAGACTGTCATGGCCTCACCATTTTTTATTGAATGTTTCAAAGATAAATCGAACTTCAAAAGGCAACTCCCCAAACAGCCTGGAGGCTGGTTGGAGGGAAGAACTGGAGGAGGGTGTCAGCCTCCTGGGTGACTTTTCCCTCGGAGGGGGTCAACTATGCGCCCTGGAATTACCTTTCCCTTGCGGGGAAAACTGCCCTCCTCCCTCCCGTGACGCAAAGTTTGCGCAGAGCTGGCCGCGTTTCGCACGCACAATTCGGGCTGAGGCCTCTGAGGGGTGTCTTGGGTCAGCCTGGTCCAATCTGAGACGCCGGGGACTACAGGGGGGCGTTCGATTTCGTCCCCTTCTCCTGCAGCTTGGAGGGCTGCTGCCTTGCCAAGCCGGGGCTGGCCACGAGGAGATTCTGCTAGTTTTTGTTTGTTTGTTCGTTTTTGTTTTGTTGTTTTTTGCACACTGGGGCAGGGAGAAATTGACTTCAATTTCCCATATCGACGTGCAAAGGGAGAGCGAGCCTAAAACGAAAACGTTCGGATTCGTGCGGGAAACACTGACTTAGGGAGCGAGCATTCTTTTTCCATTAAAACTTAAGTATCTGAAATTGCTATTCTATCCAATTCTAATCAGCCCCCCTTCCGTCTCTCATTTTGCTTCCTAATTTAAAGGAAAAGTAATTTCAGATTGAAACCGCTCCCTTCGCCGCCGCCACCGCCGAGTAAGGGACTTTTGTTTTTAGTTTTGTAACTTGAGTGACATCTCATTTTGGTTCAGTGGGGGCGGTCTTAATTATTTAAAGGCAAAGAGAAGGGGCTAAAGGAAGCCAGGAGAGAAAGAGGCCCACTCTCCACTTTCAGTAAAGTTCCCTAAAGAAAGCACTTAACACGAGGCCCAAAGACATTTCAATAAAAATTTATTGAAATTTCAATGATATTTTAAAGAGAGGGGGCAAAAATACAGAAAACCAAAGAACTCATCAACAATTATAACACAAAATATACCTTCATGAATTTTTGTCTTTAAACCAGCTCTCAGCACCTGACTTTTGAACTGTGAATATATATCTCTATAGGCACCAATTCAAAACACCATCAACACTGAAGACAGTAAGTAGTCAATTCCACTTTGTTTTGAAGAAATCAGACTAGCAAATACAAAAGAAAAATCATGAAGTCAAACCACAGCCTCCGCACTCCCCACCCCACCCGCAAGCAATCTCAGAACCACTCTTAGGGATTTCAGGTGGGGCTGGTAAGCAGCCCCACCGCCCCAAGTTTTGGTAAAATAGGCAGTAGCACTTTTCCCCACTTTTGGACATTAAAAAAATTTTTTTTTCTTTGCAGACGACTCTTTTGAAAAGTGTGTCGGTGTCGGTGCAGAAAGTGTGTTTTCTACTTTTAAAAGCGATCCTGTGACCTTGAAATAAAACTGACTATAGGAAAACAAAACCACAAAACCTGACAGCTGCAATCCTATTTACAGAGAGCTATGTACAATGTCAATAAATTAAAGTTTAATTTTTCGAGCATTCATATTCCACCTATTTACAAGAGTTATCAAATAATTACATAAATACTTTGTCTAATAGTCTCGTTTCTTCTTTATTATTTTTTAAAACCTTGTTATTGCATATACAGGAAAGAGAAAGAACTGTCAGAGGGACGACATGAATCCTGCTACAGAGCTTAGATAAAATAAATTCATTTTTGGTGTTTTCCCCACCCCCTTCCCTTTAAATCATCCCCCTTGGGGTTGTCGAGAATCGAGGAAAAGGGTAAGGGGTAATGTCCTTTTCTCTCTAAAAGCAAGCATTCAAAAATAAAACCCACAAATACATTACTGTGGAACATGCAAAAAGAGACCTATAGCTCTTAAAACATCACAAGAATATTAAAAAGACACAGATTTCCTTAATAGAGACTAAACAAGGATGGCAGGGACTTCCCTCCCCAAACAATGCTACCCAGTAATTTATTTAGAACTGATACGCAGGTCACTAGAAAGTTTTTAATCTTCACAAACAGAATCATATTAATGTATCCATTTGTCCCCGGTACTTTTTTTTTCAATTTTATTTGTTTCCACTTGACACGGTGAAGGAAAAAAATATATATATATAAATCTGCACTGGGGGAGCTTTTCAACCCCTCCCCTCCTGGGGCCTGGCTACCTCGATCTTCCCACAGCTTCCAGACCAGCCTCGAAGGAGGTGCTCCGGCCGCCAAGGCATTGACTCCCACCCCCAAGAGCTCAGTGCAACCGACGTTTCTGAGCCAGATCCCGGATGTATAAACCACGCCAAGAAGAAAGGGCTTGTTTCTAGCGCATTCTCTCCAGGGAGTCCGGCACCCCTTCCCAGACAGGGCTTCACAAAGAAGGGCTGACCTCACTGCACGCCCGTGGTTTATTTGACATCCAACAAAGTGCACTGCAGACTGGACTGGACTGGACTGGAATGAAGAGACTTTTCTGGGGAGGGGTTTACGGGGATGCGCTGCGGGACCTGTCGGGCTTGGCTTCCAAGCCGCTGACCAGCCGCTGTATGTTCTGCAGTTCGCTGGTGGCCGCCTCCTTCTCCGGGCAGAGTTTGGGCGACAAGGACACGGAGCTGGAGGAGAGCGTGGAGGAGCGGCTGTTGAGTTCCGAGCCTGAGTCCACGGCCACCGAGGCCGGGCTGGCGGCCAGGGCGGCGGCCTTGCCATCGAGGGGCCCCGGGGCTGCGGCCATGGACGGCAGGGCGGTGGTGAGCAGGCTGCTGCTGTCCGGCACCGGCACGGGGATGGAGTAGGGGCTGTAGCGCAGCCGCGGGCGCATGGTGTTCAGGTTCAGGAACGGGTGGCGGTGCACGGAACTGGAGGCCGCTGCCGAGGAGGCGGCCGCCGCCGCGGCCATGTACGTGTAGGGATAAGGGAACAGGCTTCCGAAAGGCGACATGGCCAGGCCCTGGGCGAGGAAGAGAAGGCAGGGGCAGAAGAGTCAGGGCCCAGGCTCTGCGCAGTGGGGAGGAGCCAACCTCATCCTCCACCCCTCCCCCACCCGTCCCCACCTTGGGTGAGTCCTTCACCTCTCTCCCTGGGGGGTAGAGAGCAGGACACTCAAACTTCTGTGTCTAGGTCCAAATCTGAGCTGTGTCAACCTAGGCCAAAGTATTCCCTCCCTGTGCCTCAGCTTTCTTATATGGCAAAACCAGGGAAAAGCTTAATAATTCGCATACTTCTGGGGGACTTTGTGGGTATGAAATGAGCTGCTGCCTGCAATATACTTCACACAGGGTGCCTGGCCAATAGGACGGTTGGAAATTCTCCCATCAGAGTCAGTTGTTCCACCTGTTAAATGGGGCTACAGACAGTCTACCCCACAAAAGTAGCTGGGTGAAAACCAGAGGGCATAAAATATTGGACATGAATTTTTTTTCATTCTTGTCGCTCCACCCCTCCGTCCTCCTACTCCAGTCTAGAAGTTTTAAAAAAAGAAATCTAGGGAAGATCCTTAAGCAAAAAGAAAACGGGGGTGGGCAGGATGGAGGGGGAAAGAGTAAAGGGTGTTTGCCATGAACCAAGCAATCACATGGCCCCAGATACGCTGGTGTTACAGGTGGAGAGACTGAGTTAAGGTAGGCCCCGGGTGCAGGAATTCACTCAGCTAGCAAGTGGCAGAAGCAGAATAAAAATCCGGGGACCCTGGCCCGGGTTAGTTCTCTCTGACCCACTGCCTTGGATACTATTAGTACCTGTCTGCCCAGGCAGGCCCTCGCCCGCCTATCACCTGCCCACCAATGACAGGAGGGTCTCCAGAAAGGGCTAGCACAGGAGATGGGAGGGATGGAGGAAGGGCAGAAGCCAGCCCTTTTCTCAGTCCCCTCCTCTTTCCAGAGGGGGAGGCCAGGCCTGCCTCTTGGCTCAGGGAAGGGAGATGAATGCGCTCAGACAAAACAAAAGGCAAGGGCATGCAGAAAACCCCATAGAACCTTTTCACCGGGGTTCAGAGCATTTTCAGCAGCCTGAGACTTCTCCCCAGCTGCTGGAGCCCCAACACAGCTGTCTGAGCCATACACAGGCCGCTAAGCCTGCCACAGCCCCAGCCTGTCCTTCTCTGACATTTCCCACGTGTGCACAAGCCATTAACCCTTTGGGGAACAGGCTGGCCTGCGAGGGGTGGGGGAGCAGGAAAATAGCTTCATATTGGAGGTTCAAGAATCAACTCTTCCCCAGGGAGTCACTTCCCTTACCAGGTCATGGTCTCTCCCTCCTCTAAGTCTTGGGGGAGGGTTGGCTGTGAAACATTTAAGAGACATTTCAACTCTGAAGCTAAAATCATAGCCTCTGGAAAAGGCCCTGGAATCTGACTGACTGCCTGGGGTAGAGTCTCAGGTCCACCACCTACCAGCTGTGTGTCCTCGGATAAGTTACTCAACATCTCTGATCTCTGTCCTTTCATCCAGAAGGTGGAGGTGATCATAGGATCACTTAAGTCAGAATAGATCGAGTACTTAGAAGAGCACCCGGCACAAAGTAAGCGCTGTGTAGAGTTATTATCTGTTATTACCATCTAGTTACTCTGCTAGAAATAGCCCTTAACTTAGAAAAAAATTTTTTTAAGTTTTGGTGGGGAGTGTGAGGTTATGATGAATCAATAAGTCTTACACCTAGTAATAATAATGATGATGATAATAATAATTATTATTATTGAAAGCTTCTAGGCAGGGGGACTGGGTGAGTGTCTGGAATCTAAGGACAGGCAAACGAGAGTCAACGAGGGGCCGGAGAGGCGGTTGATAAATACCTGAGAGGCCAGGACGTGCTGCTGGAGGTGGAAGGGCAGGGTGGCCGCGGACGCCCCCGACAGTCCCTGCGCCGCGGCAGCCGAAGCCATGGCCGTAGAATCCAGGCCCGAGACGCCAGTGGAGGTCCCGGACACGGTGGCCAGCAGGGGCCCCATGCCGGCGGCCATGCTGGAGAAGGCACCCCCCATGGCGAACTGGCCGGGGTGCAGGAAGAGCGGGTGCCCGTTGAAGAACTGCTGGCCGGCCAGGCCGGGGGCGAAGCCGAGGCCGGGCAGGGGGCCCTGGCCCAGGTGCGCGGCGGCCGCGTCCGTCTGCACGGTGAGCGGCGCGAAGGCCTCCTTGCCCGGCAGCGCGCGCGCCTCCTCGGCCTTGGAAGGGGCCGCGCCGTCGCGGCCCGGGCTCCGGCGCTCCTCGGCTCCCAGGCCGCGGGTGCTGGACGAGATGGTGGCCGGGCTGTGGCGCGAGTCGGGCGACGCCTTGTCCAGCCGCCCGCTGTCCCGGGGCCGGCCGCCGGGCTCGGCTACGAAGAGGTGCGCCTTGACCGCCGGGCTGCCCTTGTCCCGGCACGGATCCTCTGACGTGGTGGTGGAGATTTTGGCCGCGTCGCAGGCCTCCGGGCCGTGCTCCTCTTTGCTCTCGGCCTCGGCATCGCTCTCACCCTCGCTGGGACACAGATCTGCCATAGGAGGGAAACAAAAGCCAAGCAGAAGGGCGTTAGCTCTGAAACCCGGGCCAGCAGAATTCCAGTTCCCCACTTTGAATCCCAGCTCAGCTACTTCGCAGCTGTGTAACCCCAGGAAGCCCCTTAACCTCTCTGCGCCTCAGTTTTCTCATCTGCAAAGTGGGAGTGATGATACCGCAAATTTTAGTGGAAGGATGCAACAAGCTAGTAGCGAATTTCCAGTATGTAGATAGAGCGGCACCCCTCCGTCCATGGATCCTTCCCCAAATGGGTAGTGGATTTTACTATTTTACACAAGTGAGGACTGAGCTCCTACCAGGTCAGACAAAGCCTTTACTGGCCTTTTCCCCCATTCGATTGCACATTCAGTTTTTAAAAATTAAAACTGACTTACAATAAAACTCACTGCGGGAACACCTTCCAGTTACCCTCTCTTTGTTCCCTGAGTGATTGAGAGCAGCCCCTTCCACAAATTTGTGGATTTCTCTCAGAAGGATTTGTTTGGAGAGAACCCTGACATTTGAATTGGTAGTGGCAGAATTGAACACTCCTCCCCCAACATGCGTGCACACACACACACACACACACACTCCACTGAGCCTTCTCTGTTTCTCCTGTCTCTGCAGACAGAGATGGGTGATAAGCGGCCCACTCACTGCCTGAAGACAATCACGGATTCTCTTTTGCTCCCACCATACCCTCTGTGGGTGTCCTACCAGAAAAAAAAAAAGAAAAGAAAAAGGGATCCCGTTTTGTGTTTAAAGCTTGAATGGATTGAAGACATAAAGAACTCTCATTTTATTTCACTTAAAAAACAGGTCTCTTCCTATTGAGAGCATGTGTGTCTTTCCAAATAAATAGTTCTTGCTCTTTAAACACAGGAAACCAACTGATGATTTGAACAGCTCCTCCTCTCCCACCCCTGCCCTCCCCAACCCAGATTCTCAGTGCTTCATCTTCTCTCACAGGTCCATGGTGGCCCTACAGCTGGATTTCTCTTGGTCACCTTCCGTGTTCCAGGTGGCAGAAAATCCCCTGACTCCTCCCACCCCCAGCCTAACACATTTTAACCTAGAGTTTGAAGATAGAGTGAAAAAAAGTCAGCTGCTGCTTGGTTGGAGGGGTGGGGTGGGGGAGTGTGGGAAAAAGAAAGAGAGAGAGAGGGATGCTCCAGGCGCCCACCCAGAGGGAATACAGGAGCTGGGACCACTCCTTCCTCCCTGCCAACTCAGTGTCTGGGCGAAAGGGGTCTGAGCTCTCAGAGGAACTTAGGGAAGGGGGACACACCTGATCACCCTTTGTGAGATTTGGCTCCTGTTTACAAACTTCTAGAAGGATCTGAAGCTTTGGAGGGGTCAGGTTCCCTGGTGGGCGCCCCCAGCCCCCAACTCTTCAGGCTTCCAAGAGCTGGAGAAATCTGAGAAATCAGAGGTGGCCAGACTTACCTTTGAGGTTGGATGTCCCTACGGTGGAGACGGCCGGAGAGGAGGACTGAGCGAAGCAGCTGAAGGAAGCCTGCTCACTGGAGGACTCGTCGGAGGTGCCGTTCTCCTTTTTGTGTCTGTCGTCGAACACCCTCATGGACTGCAGGGTGAGCTGCTTTCTGTGGCAGAAGCCCACACACACCGAGCGTTACACATCAGAACAGGATTTTCCCCTCGGGCGGCCTCACCCTCTCCAAAGAGGCGCACACACGCCCAGGGGTACGGGAGGGGGAAAGAAGGCTTTGGGTGTATTTATTCAAGACCAGAGGGATTCATTAGGGAAGGGGTATTGGCTGGGGCAGTGAAATCTTGTTTAAAAGTAAAGAGCAACTTTGGGCCTCACTGGTTCCAGTTCTCACACCTCCCCAGGAGTTACCGATTGCTCCTTTGGGAGCTGCAGGTCCAGGTGATGGCAAGATAATGTCTTCATGAGGGGCAGGACCGTACCTGGTGACCCTGAGCCACTAGATATCAGGTTGGGCCATCTCATGATCATGCATTTGTACCTGGATTTCCCTACCCTCAGAGTTCAACGGGAAGGCAGGAGGGGTTTGAGTCTTTGTTCTTGTGAATTAGACATGAATTATGAAGTCATCTTATGAAATAAACCATGATATGAAAAAAAAAAAAGTAAAGAGCAAGACGGGAGATTGGAGCCAGCCAGAGACAGCTGAGCAGCCTGCCTCACAGACTGAGGAGAACAGAGGACTCAAAGCAGTGAACACAAAGGGCGGACCAACTCCGCACGGGTTGCTAAGATTGGGAAGGAGTGGTTATTTCATGGTGCACTTTACTGTAATCGGTTCACCAACACATTAATTGGACTTAAAAAAATCTATTTTGATGTGAGAAATTATTTCTTAATGCCCAGCCCCTCCCCCAGGGGATAGGTTAAAAATTGGGGCTGATTTTCTGGATTTTCGAAATTCTTTGAACACGGGTGGGGGAGGGGAGAGCTTCTTTTATATACCACCAGCTGTCTGCTTAATACAGAATGATACATGTCCCCACAGAAGGAGGGGGCCATAGATGTCTCCAGGGGCTTCAGTTCTGTCTGAGGGTATTTGCCAGACAAGACTGCAAAAATTCCAAGGCATTTTGTGAATGGCTCAGTCCTTTCCTGGGACCTGCCCAGGATGAACTTAAACTAATTAGAAATTAATAGGCATCTGCATATAATCTGTATTCCTGATACTTTTCTTGCAGAGACATCTTTCTATGGGGTGGCCTAGGTAACTTCCTTTAAGGTAACATGGAAGAGGCAGAGAAAGTGGTGTACCGACATCGGTAAGCTCTTGGTCGAGGGGCATCAGACTGTTTTCCACCCTTCCCCCGCCCTTCCCCCACCCTTCTCAAGGTAAGTGTCTGCATTCCACTTCTAACAGTTGAGTGTCGGGACCTAGACAAGCGATCTTCTAAATTATCTGAGAAACAACCGTCTCAGCTCACCTTTTTTCTCTCCTGCCATTTCCAGTGTCCCGGAAACCTTTTGCAAAAGGGTTGTTGTCTATTTTTAACTGAGTTATCTAGAGAAGGAGACACAAGCAAGAAAGAGACACTGGCTTCATTTTCTAGAATGTTCTGGGAGTGTTTCCCCCAACTCATTAATCTACTAGAAATCTGACTTCCAACCACCGGAGGAGAAGTCATTTGGATAGGCCAGGTTGAAGAGAAAGAGAGAGGGGAACACAGAAGAAGTTTGGAGGGGGCCAGGAGGAAAACCAAAGCAAACTGTGTCATGGCTGGCATCTCCCATTGGAGGCCAAACCAGGGATTCCAGGCTGAAATGATCCTGCCTGGGCAGCCAACAGCCTGGGCTTAGAAATGGAAAGGCTGTCAAGGGGCAACCTGTAGATCTAAAAATTATGCTTTCCTTTAGATTTTTTATACAGTGCAATGATCATAAAATATGTTATGGTAGATTTCCTGCCCCCAAACACACGCACAAACATACACACAGCACATCCTCCAACCTTTTCTGTAAATCTAATAAAATGATTTATGGGGTTTCACTACCCTTGTGCTGGAGTGGACTTGATTTTTTTGCTGGGTGTCGGGGGAGCGTGTTTCAGGAATTACGATATTGACAATTATAGATTTAGAAGGACCGAATGACCACTGGAAACATTTGTTTTCATTTATATGCCCTGCCACCGCCATTAGGTGGAGAAGGCCCATGGCCGCTTTGATCAAAAATGCTATCTTTTATTATTCCGTTAACAACTTAGATTCACAGCATTCTGGGTCTAGAGGGTGCGTGCATTTTTACACGCTGAGGAAAAATAGTATGTAATCTTTCAAATCCCTTCCCTGCGGTGGGGTCGGGGATGGGGATGATGTATACAGAGTTCGCTAGAGGTGGGAAAAGGGCCCCTTGGACGGATTCTCGTTCTTGGAATAAATCCTGCTTGCACTTCTTGCAGGGAGAGGAGGTCCTGATGTCCTAGTCTCCAGACCAAGGAAGCAGACCTGGAACACCCCCATCAGCGGGCCACAGAGGACCCACCCATAGTGAGAGTGAATTCAAAATGTAGGGCGTCGTCGTCTAGTGAGCTGGCCTGGCACTGAGGTCCAGGGTTCAGAAGTTGAAGGGCAGAGGTCCTCAGGTGCCCCCCACCCCCCTACCCCCCACCCCCCTTAACTGCCTGCTAACAGCCAAGCTGGCGCCTGGTGAACCCGCAGCAAGACTCACTTTTCTCTATGTCTCTCTGTGCACACGCCCATGACCTTCGGGCCACCATAGCTTTACATACCAGGTGCTGCCTGCTGTTCCATTTGGGGGTACTCGTAATCCCCGGCCTCAGGCCCAGGGAGAAAAAAACCCTTCAAATGAAGTGGTGACTTTGGTCATCTCATCTCAAAAGCCTCAGACAACTCAATTAGCATGACCCTGTGATCAGAGTAGGTTTTTCCAAACACACACACACACACACACACACACACACACACCATAAAAAACACAGCAGCGTAAAAGGTAATAAAAACCAGACCAGCTACTCGGGATTTCTGGCTAGGGGAGAAAATCTGGTCTCTGCTGGGACTCTCCTCCCAAGATCCCGAATGGCTTTTGCCTTCAATTTTAGCTGGTTCCTTTCGAACCTGATTTCTCGACCCTTCTTCCCGAAGGGGAAGAGGATGAACCTTGAAACCAACAGGAGAAAGCCCTGGGTCGGGTGGGGCAGGCAACGGTAAGGACGGGTGGTTACAGGAGCTTCTCACTGGCAAAGTTAGTGTGGCATTTTTTTCCACTCAGCATTGGATTCCTAGCTGGTCAAGTTTTTTTTTTTTTTTTTCCTTCTGCCTCTGCAGTGTGCCAGTGCCCCTTCCCCGCAAAACTCCAGTGAAGGTCAAATCACAAAAGAAAAATCAGAGTCCCATCCCAATGCTCTTGTAACTTTCTTATCCTCTCCCCAGAGCAGCTTACAGGGGGGAGGGGAAGTGGGTGTTAATATCACGATTAAAAAGAAAAGCGACTTCGGTTACCTTATCATTCTGGTATGCGGTCACAGCGATGAATTCGGTTTCCGGGAACAAGTACGTCCGAAAAGTACTATAAGGAAGTTTTAAGATGTCATTGGCCCTCACAATGTGGAAGCGAGGCTGGTATTTATGCATGGAGTTCAGTATAGTCTGCAGGGGCCGGAAGAGGAGAGACACACATCACAAGAGGATTTAGTGGGAAGAACAGGACCCTAGGACCCCTGTCAGGCCGACGTCTACCCCACCGAAGGGCACCACGCTTGTACGGAGCCCACCTCCTTGGAGTACCTCTGTGGGAACATTCAGCTCCCCACGTAATCTTCTGGAGAATCCAAATTGCTCCTCAATTTCCAAAGGGTCCTCCCCCACCCTCACCATCTAAGGTTGATTCGTACCTTGAACCCTAGCCTACCTGAGTACCAAAACTATAATTCCCCTGCCACGTTGCTTGATCACTTGGGAAGGCCAAAGTCTTAAAAGATAGAGAAAAACATGCATTTTAATTTACAAAATGATTCAGTCTTTTAAGTGCCCACTAATTGATGAGCCCAATCCACTTAAAGCCCTGAAAGGCTGAACTCTAGAGAGGAATATTTATGTCTTAATCAAATCAAGGGCTTCAAATGCAATTCCTGCCCCCTGAAGATATTTCCGCGCCATTCACGTCTTCCTGGGCCTAATCTTTCTGCTTATTCCTCACTTATCACTCTGTTTATTTTATTGAAATGTTGGGGAGGCGTAGGGGCAGGGGGCAAAAGGTCCTTTGCTTGACTTTTACAAGCAATCTAAGTCTCCTGAAAGTTTCTAGGAACTCCCTCCCTGAATCCATACATATACTCCCAACACACATGCAATTTTTGTACTGGGAACTCTAAGTCTCATTTCCAGTAAACCTGACTTTCACCTAAGCCCAGTTCTTTTTTAGTCCAAGGGAAGAACATCTTTCAAAATCTGTATTCACACCCTCTCACCAACAGAGTCAAGACTTCGAACCTTAAAACTCCCCTAAGCAACAATATGGCTGGTTTCAAAACAGAAGTTTGATATCGTAAAACAAATCCCTTACGAACGTCTACCTTTGACACTGATTTTACGTCTTCACGATTGCTTTTTAACTTCCCTGTCAGGTCAAACAGTTACCGAGACCTGGACTTGCCACAGAACGTGAGCCTCACTTCTTTCAGAATGCCAGGCCTTCCATTATCTGAAGAGAAACACCCTGGAATCCTCTCTCCATCTCTGTTTGCGGATCGAGCAAGTTTGCTATGCTTGGCAACTGAGAGCGAGGGAGAAACTCTTTGATTTTACATGGAAGGTGGAAGCACTGCCTTTGCTAGAGAGAAGAAAGAGAAAATTTTGTCCAAGGGAAGCAGTGAAACTTACAAATCCGTGTTTGTCGGAAATGTTGTTGGTGAGTTTCAGTTTGTGGAAAGTGACAACTTTGGACATCCACTGTTCCCCGGTGGCAGGGCTGTCGGGGTGAATGTACATTCTCTTTGGCATTTCAGGGTCAGCCTTTCCCGCCACCATCCACCGAGAATTGTGAAATTTATACCGACAGTCATCTGCAGCGATAATGTCCATCAACAAAATATATTTGGCTTTTTTATCCAGCCCTGAACACCTTACTTTAAATGGAGGAAACATTCGCCTACGAGGGGAGAGAAGAGAGAGGAAAAAAAGAAAAAAATATCACTCAGTTTCCCGGGTTTGAGCTTCTACCTAAAATATTTAAATCAAATTTAAAACTTTCGATTACATTTGATGAGCTTGTGCCATTCAGAGTAGGGCGACTGGATGCAAAGTTGTTTCCTTCCACAACAGAAGGATTAAATATGCTCAAATGGCTCTATTTTAAATGTCCCAAGATTCAAAACGAATGAATTGTGGCACTGGATTTCTCCACATCATCTAATAATTTCTTTGTAATTTTTGTGGTCTCTTGTATGACTTTATAGATTGCCCTCCTGAGAGGGAAATTCCTGCCTCTGCCTTTTCCTCTGCCTTTTTTTCTGGGTGTCTATTTGTAAACAGTTTGGGTAGGATTTTAGTCAAGTTCAGTCAGTCGAGGTAGAATTTTCCACCACCCATTGATTAGAAAATGTTAAACGTATCAAGAAAAGAAATGTCAAGTTGCACCCCTCCCTGCTGTGGAACAGCAGTCCCGCTGCTGGCGAAATGAAACTGTACTTTGGTGAGTTCTCAAAACGAATTCTGTAGATTGGGGTGGACGCCCAGGCCTGATCACCAGCCTGACTATCGCGCCGCTAACCACATTCTCCCCACTGCTCGGGGCCAGTCCAAAACGGCAAGACTCCACCACCAAATTGCTTTTTACTTTCCAGAGGCGTTGGCATTCTGTACTTTTGACTTAAAAGGGAGCAGAGAGCGGGTCGCTGTGAAACTGCCTGTGTGTCTTCTGGGAGGATTTTATGGCAAACTTTGGCCTCGTTTAGCTTGGAAAGACACAGAAAACTAAAGACCTGAAGAGAGGGATTTTCTTTTTATTCCTTCAACTTTATGCCTTGGTAGACTTCGATGCCATTTAAAAAAAATCAGTGATTTTAAGTGACAGGCACGTTTTGGTCAGACAAGGACCTCTAAACGTTATGTAAAATGTGGTTGATAATATTCACACATGAAACAGCAGTGTGGGGCTTCCTACTGGCTCCTTGGGTCTGCAAACATAATCTTAATTAGTCAAAATTGCCTATTGAACTCTCCCTCGATTACAGACACACGAAGCAGTATGGACAAACCCCAAATGCCCTTCGGTTTCTCTCTGACGCTGGCAGGGGCAGGCTCAGGCCCCCTGCAGACCCAGAGGCTAGGCTGGAGGGCAGAAAAGGCAGGGCAGCTCCTTCCAGGCCTCCTGCTACCACACAAACAAAAAGGGCTGTAAGTGTTTCTCTCCGACAGTAAAATGAACCAGACAAAAATACAACATCTACAAAGACACAAGGATGTTCCAGAAAGGTTTGAAACACTGAATTGCCTGCAGTGGGGTGCTTTTCTTTCTTCCTGCAGAGATGTCTGGGCAGCACTGAAAAAATTCTACCTATCCTGTACGGAACCCGGGATGCAGACCCAGGTAGGAAAAACGGCCGGCTGCAGACGCCCAGGTAAGCTGAAATCTCCTACCACAGGGGCAGGGCCCGGGGAGGTCTCTGTACACAGTCCTGGTACACAGTTCCGGGGGAACTGTGTTTGCCTCTAAGCCGGAATAACTGGCAAACCGACCGTTCTGGGAGGCGAGAGAGAAAAGGAGGAAAGAAACCTTCAGTAGTTGGGGGGAGGGGGCCCGCCGCTTGCTTACCTTCCCGACTTGGTAATGACCATCTCCGTGCCCCGCTTGTGGAACTGATCCCAAAGTTCTTTGGCCTCGAGGTGCACCTTGGGGTCATCCTCCACTTCTTCTTCCGGCTCCATGGTCTTCAGAGGCCTCAGATGTGTCTGCGGCCCCAGGGACGAGAAAGGGATGCCGGTCTCGGCCGCCCCCACCAATTGATCCATGATCGGCTTGGCCAGGGCGCCGGGCAGCGAGAGCGCCGCCGCGCCGTTGGGCGGCAGAGTCAGCGCGGGGAAGAAGGGCGGCTGGTGACCCAGCACCGCGCTCATGGCGAAGTCCGGCGCCCGGTGAGGTAGGAACGGATGGTAGGCCATGCTTGTCCCAGGGATGACCGGATCTCTCATGGAGAGGCTCATCCACTCCAGGCGGGGCGCTGGGCTCCAGCCGGGGACGAGTCCGCAGCTGCTGTTCTGTTTTGTTTTTGTTTTTTAACAGCAGCGCATAGTTTGGAGGGGGGGAAAAAAACCGAAAGAACAAAAAAGGGGGGGATCACAACTAAAGCACCTCAAAGTGAGGGGAGGGGGAAGTGTCTTTTCGGGAGGGGAATGCCGCTTTTAGAGAGGGCAAGGCGAGAAATCAGGAGACATAGTCGCTCGGATGACTGTCCTTGTGTCTTGCGTTTTCAAAAAGCCGCTCCTGGAAGTCGGTTGACGAGGCGAGAGGAACGAGCAGGGTCTGGACTCGTGCCGGAGCCCTGCTGCTTGGCTCGAAATAGACACGCCAGCCCTCGGTCCCGGCAGTCCCCCTCCAGCCCCCAGTTCTTTGTTGTAAATGCGAACGGTTCTCCTAGGAGACTTTTTACCTTTTCTTCTCCTTCTTCTTCCCCCGCCCCCCTATCTCTCTGCCTCTCCCTCTGGCTCGCAGGAGGCGTCTGCAGTTGCGCTAGACCGGCTTGAACTGCGAGCGAGAGAGCGGAAAAAGTCTCCCTCCTTTAAAAAAAAAAAACAACAACTCTGATTGAAGCCCTCTTCTACCAGCGCTATCAAAACTTGAACTGCAAACGGGCTTCCGTTCGCCCTCCTCCTCCTTCCTCCGCTCCGAGCCTGGTGTCTGGGTTTCAATCCGAATCTCGGTGTGCTCTTCTCCCGCGCCTCTCTTCCTTGTCCTAAAACGTGAGCGAATTCGCTTCCTAAATCTGCGTCCAGACGCGCAGGGCAGGGAGGATTTAGGGGGGAGGAGGGGAATGAAAAGAAGGGAGAGAGAGAGAGAGGGAGAGAGAGAGAGAGAGAGGAGAGAGAGACAGAGTGGGAGAGGGAGCGCGAGGAGAGGGAGGGAGCGAGAGAAAGCCAGAGAGAGCTCCTCGCCACCCTCCTCCGCCTCTAGAATTCCCCGGGCGTCTGCTCAGCGGTCTAGAAGGTCGGGCTCTGCTGTGGGCTGCGGAGAGCCGGAGGCCTCTTGATTGGCTCTTTGACGCTTTCGGACCAATTGTGTTGCTGCATAGGCGTGGTTTTCACAGGTCGAGTGCTGGGGGATAGAGCCGAGTTATAAAAAGAAGGTGTCGGAAACTGTAACGTCGCAGCGCCGCATCGGTACTACTGCCTGTCCTGTGAATATGTCAACATGATCAGAGGGAGGGCGGGGAGCCACTGGGGAGCGCGCGCACCGAGTCGCCTCTAGGTGGCTTATCGAGAGATCGCTGCAGCCTCAGAGCTCGCTCGCTCTGGCTCAGCCCACGTCTGAAATGCCTCAGTCATCCAGCCCGGGATAGAGGGAGGAGGCCGGGCAAGGAGCACGGGGGAGGGAGGCGGGAGCGAGCGAGCCGGGCCAGGAAGGCGGAGAGCGCGCCCGGCGCCGGGCAGGGGCGCTCGCCTCTCGCGCGCTCGGCTCGCCTCTGGCCGCCGCGGCCGTTTCTCTCTCCCGCTCACCCTCTTAGCCCGGCCCCGGGCGAGCCGAGCGGACGGCCCAGGCTCCCGCGAGCTGTCCTCCGGCCGCCGGGCGCAACAAAAGCCGACCGCCGCGGAGAGGCGAGCGCCGCCGAGTCTCCAGGCTTGCACACCCTCCAGCCCCACGTGGAGCCAAGCTCCTCCCGGCCGCCACTAAAGGGCTCCCGAGCTCGGGTGTCTCTCGGTGCCGGTCTCCCTGGCAGCAGGGCTCAAGGGCTCCCGAGCACACGGATGCGGGCAGATCTCAGCCCGCGCTGGTGGGGGCTCGCGCTCCACCGTGCCCCACCCGAAACTATGCGCGGAGACCCAAACACTCCTAGCACATCTGTACGCGAATACGCGCCGGCCCACTGGGACCCAGCCACCCGCGAAAACAACGTACACGCAAACACTTAGCCTGCGCGGCTGCCCGGGTCTGCGCTCAACTGACTCCGGGAGGCGGACTCGGGCTTTTCTGAAATACATTTACCAGCCCTTTTAGATCTCGTCTTCCATTTGGAATCGGGCTCCCGGTTTTCCACCTGAATGTGTGTGTGAGTGCAGAGGGGAGAGGGGAGTTCTGAACAAAGTGAGCGCAGCGAGGGACTAGGTTCTGGGCCTGTCCCCATCCAGCCGCCTCCCTCCCTTCGGCGGCCGGCTCGGTGAGGAGCTGGTAGGGGGAGGTGCGCCAGCCCTGTATCTTCTCCAGGCATCGCACTTATCTCTCGGTGCCTCAGTTCTTTCTCCACCCGGGGACTTATCTCGCCAGAAGTCGGGGGGTGAATTTGTAAAACAAATCGTGAAACGCCCCCATCCCAGAGGCGAGGTGACCGGCTCCAATTCAGGTAGGGTGGGGGGCCTCAGCAAGGGTGAAGGGGAGGGAGGTAACCGGATCTTAGCTATCAGACCTGTCGCCGAATTGGTAACTGTTACCGCAGGTCCCTGTCCGGGTCAGAGGATTCCCCAGATCCACATTTCCCATTTCTGGGGGCCAATGAGTTGGGCCGTCCCTGCTTGGATGGAGGGAAATCTTGGGGACAATATTCTTTTACCCTTCGTGAGTTGGGAGCTTCCTCCAGTGGAACGAAGGAACGGTTGACTGCGCGGCCTAGGGGGTTAAGAAACCCCAGGCTTGGGATATGTGTGTGTGTGTGTCGACAGCCAGTACCGTCCTCTCTTACATTTTGCCTCGTGTACCCCCTAAGCCCCCAGCTCCCAGACTCCGAAGCGAGAGCAAGTGGGGGGTGAAAATGCAGTTCCGTTGTGGGCCAACCGCGCCGAGATAGGGGCGGAACTTTTGAGGCGACAAGATTTTCCAGCCTCGCATTTTTGACGCACATGGTTAAGAGCGCTTGGCGCCAGCGCTAAGAATTCCCTGAAGTCACCAGAGAGAATAGAGTGGTTCTGCGAACTCCGTCTGGCTCGCCACCTCGCCCCTTTCTTTCCCTTTCGGTCTTTCTCTGGCGTCCTCTCGGCCTCTCTCTGCAGTGGTGGAGCAAGAGGCGGCGGGGGCCAGGGTGTCGGCTCACAACGCCCCCCTCCCGCGTCCCTGGCGGCCCGATCCCGAAGGGTGCGAGAAGCCAGGCCTTCCCCCTTCTTACACCGACCACGGAGGTCACCACTGGGTTTCAAGAATCTCTGGAGGCTGAAACCCGCCCCTCCCCCACACTGCTGGCCGCCGGAGCCCGGGGCCTCACCGCTGCGCTTTCAGGAGCGGCCCCAAACCCCCGGTCTGGTTTTGCCTGCACTCGCCGGCCAATCTCTGCCCCGACGCTCCGACTAGAAGGAAAGTAATTCTGCAGCCACGAGATGACTGACCCACCCCCTAGCTCGGTGCCCCAAGCGTCCAGATGCCCAGGAGAGAGACATTTTACTCGGTCCTCCGCATTCTGGCCTCCCTTAGGTTTGGACGTGGGAGGGGAGCTTGCTGATTCCACTTGTAAATTCTCGACTTGCCTTTGGCCTCAACGGCGGAGGTGGACCTAGCCTTGATTTCAGCCTCTCATACGGCCCCCTCCCTCACGTGCCTATTTTTGCCCGTAGCTCTAACTTAACCCTGAGGTCACCCCAGTTGCCACTCCTGACCCCCACTCCCACTCCAGCGCGCAAGGGAGGAGGGGGGAGAGGAAAGTTTGCGGGGTTCTGAATCGAAAATGTCGACATCTTGCTAATGGTCTGCAAACTTCCGCCAATTATGACTGACCTCCCAGACTCGGCCCCAGGAGGCTCGTATTTTGCAGGGAGGCCGCAGTAACTTGGGATCAAAAGCGGGAAGGTGCGAACTCCTCTTTGTCTCTGCGGGGCCGCCGCGCCCCCCTCCCGGTGGGTGATAAACCCACTCTGGCGCCGGCCGTGCGCTGGGTGATTAATTTGCGAACAAACAAAAGCGGCCTGGTGGCCACCGCATTCGGGTTAAACATTGGCTAGCGCGTTCCGAAGACTTGTGCCAGGCCTGGCGGCCGGGAGAACTCGCAGGCCAGCGCGCCCTGGGCCCGGGCTTTTAGGCTCTAGCCGCGGGCTCTACACGGTCTTTTTTTTTTTTTCTCCACGCAGACCCCCTCGATCTTCTCTGTCTTTCTCCCCGCCTCACGTTCAAAAAAAGGCAGACGGGAAACACTGAAGGAGCCTGCCCCTGGGCAGAGCCTGAGAAACGGTGCTTTAAAAGAGCGGGAGAAGGGGGCCAAATTTTGAATCCGAGAGGACGCGCGGAACTTCTGGTGTCCCCCCAGCATTCCTCCGTCTTTTGCAAAGAGTATTCACATAATTGTAGGCCTGAATTTTTTTTAATTAAAAAAAAAACCCAACACACACCTCTCCAAATCTGTGACGTCTGCAGAGTTTAAAGTGAAGTAGTATGAGTGCGGATTTTAAAGTGGAAGGGCAGGAGAAGCCTCAGAATAAATGGCGTATGTGCACGCGCGCGCGCGCGCAACCATGTCACCTATCCTCAGACCAGGCCAAGGATGCGGCAGAGAATGCTTAGTCTTGCCGAAGAATTCCCCGGGAAGCCTCTGCTGATCCCACTTTTCCCTATGACACAGCCTGCCTCAAACTATAAGGGGGCAAATCGACCCTTTTGTGACCGAATGGTGTTTATCTGAAGTTTACAAAAGGAGGGGGGGGGCGGTGGAAGGGGAAAGGATGGTGGGTAGGCGGGGTCGTTTACTTTGGCAAGTTTGCTGTAAATATTCTCTTCAGCATGTGTGAGGTCTGGCGAGGGACTATTACACGCTTATTCCCTCTTAAACTTTCACCCACCGTTTGCCGCGGAGCTGTTCTTCGGTCCGAGGTGTCCCTAAACGGGGAACTCTGTTGACATAAGGACATCCAGGGTGTCTCCGGAGATCTCAGGCTTAATTAAGAAGTTTACTACGGGAGTCGGTCAAGACGTAAACTTTTTCTGGGGAGGGGCTTTCTGGGCAGAGACGGTTCCTTGTTTTTGCCCAGTGCCCCTCGCTCATGGGATACCAGGCTTTTTTTTTTTTTTTTTTTTTTAATATTGACAAGCGTTGAAACTGACTAGGTGCCCGCTACAGGACTCCCATCCTCCTTTGCGCTCAATTCCCCTAAGCCGGGACCTGATTTTCTTATCGCGGACCTCAGGGAGGCAGCTCCCTTGGGAGTGCCTAGGTTACTGCTCTTGTTTCCTCTCGCAAATCGCCGCTAGCCCCCTCCTCCCCACATTAGCACTCCTCTGCTACCCCAAACCCTGACTCTCCCACACGCAGCTCTGAAGCCAAAGGAGGACTTCACAGACCTGGGAGGCTTGACCTTCCTCCTGGAGTTTCGCATCTTCCCTCGGCGCGCCCTGCCCGCCCCCCGCCCCCAAATTGCTTTAAGAGCCTAGTTCTTCTCAGGTCTGGAGGCTTCAGAATCAATCTCTTTGGTCAGTTTCCCCATCTTTCTTCCCTCCGGGGGTAGGCACAATCCTCTTGGTTACATCAGACAGGGCACCCATTTCTGTTTCCCTTCCTTTTTTTTTCTTTTGGCTCTCCTGTCTCTCTGTCTTCCAAGATTCTGTGACTGCAGATCTGTGGTCTTTCCTGTGTTTTCTTTTACTTTCTCTTCCCTGCCTGGCATCTATCCTGTTCTTGGCTTCTATATGTCTCCTCAGTCGCTACCTCCCAGCCTTTACTTCTCTTATTCTTTCTCTTTTTGATTTACTCTTTTCTATTCTTTCTTCTTCTCCCTTTCTATTTTCTCTGGCTTTCTTGGTCCTCTCTGAATTCTCTCCTACCTTTCTGGATTTCTGGGTTGCCTCTGTATTTCCTCCCTCTCTCCCTCCCTCCTCTTCTCCAGGAACCATGACAGGCTGGCGATACCTCTTCCCGGGATTCAAGTAAACACCTTCCCCTCACACCCCTGGCTGGGAAGATAATGTGTCCTAAGAGATAGAAGAGCACTGGGCCCATTTGTGTAGGTTGGAAGTCTCACTTTCTGCTTTTGGTATCCCCAAAGTCACCCTTTTCCCCAGAGCTGGCTCTCACCCCTGTTCCAATGCTCTGATCTCCCATCCTCTCTCTCTCTTTCTCTCTCTCCCTCCTTTCCAAGGCAGGAGCCCAGGGTGAAGGGCAGCATGTTGGGTTCTAAACCCCAGCTTCTAGCCTCTGTCTCGCCCCAGCAGCACAGGGCTTTCCTGTAAGGCACATTTCCCTGTCCTCTGACAGCCCTCTAAATTATTGATTAGGGCGATTCAGTACAAGAGTCTGAAGTGTGTGTGTGTGTGTGTGTGTGTGTGTGTGAGAGAGAGAGAGAGAGAGACAGAGAGAGAGAGAGAGAGAGAGAGAGAGAGAAGATTGTCAAATTTGTCTAGCTTGGGTAAGCAGTATTTTTAGTACAGAGGCTCACTTTGGCGCCAGTTGGTTTATGCTGTTTCTAGAGCATCATTCGTTATACACTTAATCCATGCTTATCATACCTCCCTTT